AATTGCAGTGTATTTACATGCAAAAAACAATCAAAAACGTTAAATCTACAAAAGGACAACGTGACTTTTCATCTGTGAGTATATTTAACATAATATTCAAGTAATATCATTAAAACCCGTACTTTCTGAATATTTTTGTCAAATACCAAGTGTGGCCATCATAAATCATAAAGTGAAAAATAATCTATTTTTAAATAAATATAACGAAAATATTTCCTAATAACTTAATCAGTTTGTGATGAATAATAATCATTACATATAGATACATATGTAGTGGATTTTGTTTAATGATTTATATATTCATCTAAATTTTTACATGATTCTGAATATTATATAATTTAATATAATCGATAACCGTTATTTATCAAAATATTGTACAAAATAAAGGCCAAATAAGTCAAATCGAAACTTGCTACCTCGCAGCAAAAGCGTGCAATTTTTATAAAAATAAACTGGTATCACTGTTAACCGAAAGTATTGCAATATAGTGATGTACGCCACAACTTTAGCTATCGATAAGTTAATTAACCACGCGGGTTTGTCTGCCTCTGCCGAACCGGTTTATAGTTTTTATTTAGATTTTATAATAAAGTATTACCAAAAGTAGTAAATTTTTCTATTATTGGTTTGTTTTTACAGACTTCCAAGAGATCCTCGTAGGCAGCAAACTTAGATTGCAGCTTGTAGAAACCATTAATCTTGGATAATTTTTTTATGGGGAAAAATCATATTTCATACCCCAAGCTAACAATAATAGAAGGTTAGCCGACACTGCAGTACCAACCTTGAACTTGTGGGAGGTAATGTTTGGCTGTAATTATATTTAGATTAAATATTTTATTATTACCTTTGACACCAATATTATTCCACTTAAAAATATTTTAGAATTTTGATAAATTTACAAAAGCCTAATATATTATATAAAAGATCTTTTGACTTACATAAGTAAATTATTTATTTTAGGCTGATCGTAGTGATTGTACAACATCGTCTATATAGAAAAAAGAAGAAAGCTGGATGTTTCGGAAAATTCCATTAGTTGTCTCGAAAGTCACAATTCAAAGAAAATTCCTTATATAGCCCCAACTAGTCCTACTCCCACTGCAAGTACCAGCCAACACTTCGAAGATACGCTAAGGAAAATCTATTAAATCTATTAAAATTTAAAATGCAATGTGAACTACAAAATTCGTATAGACGACACAAGTGTTCCAAACAGATTAAAATCACACAGATTTTATAGATTCAGGAAAAGCTTATGTTCTTTCATATACATTTTATGTGAATTTAACCAGTTTGCTGTTCTTTCTGAGCTAGCGGGTTAATATGTAACAAAACGTTCAATAATATTTCTTCATAAAAAACTTACTTTGTTTTGTATCTGCAAAATATCACTGGATGTTACGACTATCAGTTTCTAAGACCAAATATGAGTAGTGCCTTCGTTGTCGTTATAAAATATTTTGACTGTAACTTTAAGATATATTGCAAAAATATTTTTCTAAGAATAAATGATTCTTTCTAATACCATTACTTGTTGTTTTAGAGTATTATTACTATAAAAAACATAATCACATTAAAGGTCACAGCTCATTAGAGCCACCCGGCACCCGAACCTCACCGCCTCGCCTTGAGCGGTTCATATTCTTCGTATGGATTTTTATGGGCCTGCGCTTACTACATCAACTACGTACAATCACCGGATCGCTTGCGAGGTGTACACGCGCGGACTGCGAGTGGACCACTCGATGATAGCTCGCTGTTGGTATGCTTGCCTCGCATGAAGCGCGAGCTGACAACGCGCGGTTCACGCGAGTGAGAGCGGTCAGCCGCCGTAGAGTCTACATCACAGAAGCGAACCACGTGTCGTATTATCGTCGATGGTGTGTCTTACTTGGAATAGTGGTGTTGGAAGTAGTGGTGCCGGGAGTAGTGGTGCTGGGACTAGCGGTGACGGAGTTAGTGCATGCAATTGAGGAAAGGCGGGAGGTGCTCTACAATCCAGGTAAGACACATCATTGTTTTTAGTTAGCGGAAGGTTGCAAAATAACTAATATTTTTACTATAATGGATTTCCGCAAAGTAACGCCTGATTCTATCAATTATTTATTGTATAATTTAAGGGTCACTCGTTGATCACGCGAGGTCCACTCGATGACCACGCGAGGTTCACTGGTGACAACGCGGCGACCACCCGTGGTCCACCTGTCGACTACGAGTGGACAGGTGGACCACGTGTAGCTCTAATGAGCTGTGACCTTAATTCAGCAATTTTGTACATATCACACAGTTTATTCTATTATTTGTTACAATAATTATTTTAGTTATTTATAGACCGACATTGAAACTATATATGTTTTGTAGAAGAGAGCTATAAGGGCAATCTATAAGTCTGAAATAGTCTCTTAAAAAAAAAAGAAAATATTTTAACTTTGGCAGTGTCTTTTTAATTTTAAATTTAATATTTATAAGGAAAGTCAGTAATTCCATCATGGGTCAATGTATACTCTTTTACAACTAGAAAATATACCTATCTATCAAAAAGAAAAAAAAATTAGCAAAAACTATATCATCATCATCATCATCATCATTACAGCCCTTCACAAGTCCACTGCTGAACTTAGGCCTCCTCCAAGGTATGCCACAAAGCACGGCCCTGAGCCACCTGCATCCGTCGACTTCCTGCATGTCTTACCAGGTCGTCACTCCATCTAGTGGGGGGTCGCCCTACACTTCGCCTACCGGTACGAGCCTGCCTCTCGAGAACATTTTTTCCCCAACGGTTGTCGGTTCTTCGAGCTATATGGCCGGCCCATTGCCACTTCAGCTTACTAATCCGTTGGGCTATGTCGGTCACTCTAAAAACTATATAATAAAGGTTAATATAGTACTAAAAACCCCTGAGAATGAGACGATCACTACCATGCTATTTCTAAATGTTTTCATATTAAATAATAATATTATATTGTAAATTAATGTTAGAGTCCTGCTAGGTTTTTTGTTGGGTTGCTCCAAGGACTGAGCTTTTTGTGTGTAAAAAGTTCCAAAGTGTAAGCACTTTGGAAAAAACCTCAGTCCTTGGAGCAACTTGGTGAAAGCATAGATAACTTTCAATTGAATTATGAATAAAAAATATTCAAATCTTATCTAGATGCAGTGAACCCAGTATCACTCTACATCACATACCGGATCAGAACTGCTAAGTGTTACCAGCTTTATCAAAAAGATAATGCAGATAAAGTGGACCCTTCCCATATATAGAGGCAGATGTAATAATGACTAATACACCAGAGGAATAATTTGAGAAATGTAATACAAGTTGTGTTATATATATTAAGAAGAAAAAAAAAGTATAGTCTCCATAAAAAGTACACTCACCGGCACGGAAACTTCGCCAAGCGGTTATCTCGCGATAGCAAAAGCTTTAAGTGTTTCTGATGAATGTTTGTTATGCAAATATGTCAAAAAATGTTTACCCTCAAGTTCAAGAGGGTAATTCATTATGTTTAAGTGCACCGTGACGAATTCTTTAATTTTTAGTTGAATCGGGTCATTTGAGCGACTAAGTTCACATTTTAAATTTGTGTGTTGTGAAAAGTTTACTGTAAGGTTATTCAATTATTGTGATCTTGTGTCTTAATTAAATAACTAAAGGTGCTTTAAAGCCAATAAAAATGCCATTAACACCAGCACAAGTTGCACAAGCAGTAGCATTAATTGACCAAGGGCTGACACAGCGTGAAGTTGCTATTGTGCTTAACGTACCATGGTCCTCAATGCAGTATTCACTGAAACGATACCAGGAGACAGGCCGCTACACCCGCAGGCCAGGCAGTGGGGGGCGTAAGGTGCACATCGGCCCAGGACGATCGTTTTATTGTTATGGAGATTTTGAGAAACCGCTACCTAACCGCTGTTGAGATACGCCAGCGGCTCCAAATCGCAAGAGGCGTTAATGTTAGTGAGCATACGGTGAGAAGACGAATGGAGGAAGTGAATTTAAAAGCTCGTAGACCAGCACGAGGTCCAGAACTTCTCAGACAGCACCGAGTAGCCCGACTTCAGTTCGCAAGAGAACATGTCAATTGGACCCACGAGCAATGGGCTAGAGTGTTGTTCACAGATGAGTGTCGAATAGCTTTACGTGCTCCAGACGGTCGAGAACGAGTGTGGAGAAAAAGAGGAGAGAGGTTTCTACCCATTACCACCACCCAAACTGTGAGTAGTAGAGAATAGTTTCCATGGAGGCTCAATAATGGTATGGGGAGGTGTAAGTTCCGACGCACGTACAGAGTTGGTCATCGTCGATAATCGGCTTACAGCTACTCGATACATCGAGGAAGTTCTTCAGGAGCACGTAATGCCTTATTCGGGATTCATTGGACACGACCAATTCCTCCTCATGCACGATAATGCACGCCCGCACGTCGCACATTGTGTAGAGGAATATCTGGAAGAGGTTGGAATACAAAAATTACAGTGGCCAGCTCGTAGCCCGGACTTAAATCCAATTGAGCATGTATGGGGTATGCTCAAAAGAAAGATAAAGTCCAGCTCCAAACCGCCACAAACTCTAAATGAGCTCCGAAATGCAGCGCTGGCCGCTTGGGACAGCATACCGCAAGTTGATGTCAGAAACATCATTCAAAGCATGCCAGATCGAATGCAAGCGGTTATCAGGGCTAGAGGAGGAAACACCCGACATTAAAACTGATAGACAATAAAGAAACAGACTTAATTTTTAACTTTGTAGTGTTTTTAAAGTGACAATGGAAAGATGTTAATTTTAGTGAAAACATGTTATCTTGAAAAGAAAAATTTCGGTGAAGTAAACATTAAATTTCTATGTTCTAAAACCATTAGAGACACTTATTGAATGCATCTACCCTTAATTTACTGTTAAAAAACGTTTCAGTGCAAATAATCAGCAAATTCACGAGTGGCCAAGTTTCCGTGCCGGTGAGTGTATTTATAAAATTACAGTTACAGTCTAATGCATTTCACAGCTCTATAAGGCATGGCAGCACCATTTCTCTTATAATTGTATTTGCCAATTTCCATTTTTCAGTATGTAATATAAAGCCTACAACAAACAGCAAGTGCTTATTTCCTGTGCTATAAGCTCGCAAAACACTCATGCATATTATAAAATGCTTAATATTTAACCAATCTCAATTTACTTCTAATTTAACTAGATGTGCAACAAATATTCGGCCCATTCGGCTACTTTCATCCTATTCTGTCAAATCCAAATATCTAGGTACTATATGGCCAAATCCCGAATACTTAAGTAAAAGGTTTTATTGTGGTCAGATAATTGGTAAAATGATGAATGGATATGACTTTTATACATTTTAGAGGCACACTGTAGCTATATTCGTTGTAGCACAAATGGGTTGCCTTGATCAGGGAAGAACCTCGCTCTCACAGAATACCAGCGTAAAATAGCAGCTTAAGGTTGCTGTGTTTCATATAGTGAGTGTAGAGAACTGGACATTTTTACTGGAAATGAGGCATTTGATCTTCGTCGAAAGGGATGATAAACCATCTGCATTTTGATTCTCAATCACGGATAAATGTAGATGTCTATGCGCCACAGCATCCATTTACCATCAGGTGGACTGATTGCCTGTTTGTCACCCTTATTCTATATTTTAAAAATATTTATTTACTTTATAATTTTTTTTATTGTGATCAGTCAGTAAGTAGTCATATGTACATAATCAGCTTCTGTATAAAAATTAAAACAAGAACTTTCAGATAAATGGCTATGCACTTGAATTATTGTAATTAAAGTGGAAGATAATGATGAGGAAAGACTAATTTTTCTACATTTTCAGGCAATCGTTTACTCCTCCTTCCATCATCTCATAGATAATCTCAGCAACAGAGAATAAACTTTCTGAATAAACACTACTTCCAATCAAATACTCTTGCCTAATATTCAGCTATTCAGCCAGAAAGCCCACAGAATATACGGTATTCGGCATGTGGCTGAATATACTATTTGTTACAAGTCTAATTTTAACCTAATTTTTATTACATTATAAATTGATCATTTATTAAGTGCAGTTCCATCAGTATATTTTGAATTTAATCTGCAGTTACTTTATTAAAATAAAATATTAAATCAGAACACTGTTTTAATATTGTAAAACATTTCAATGTAACATTTTCTACTGATGTTTTGCAAATTGATACCCTAATGCTGATAACCTACCTTAATAATATCATGGTTAAAGTAGATTTTTGATATCTGAATTCAATTTTAAAGTTATTTTCATAAAATTTTGTTTACATTTATTACAATACAATCTTTTTTTACTAAATTTCAAATCATGATAAGCAAAATTTGTAATAATTATGTATTTAACATAATGTGTCAACAGGCAAAATTTTATGAGATTTGCTGTATACATACCACATTAGGTAGGAAGTTTAATAAACACAGAGAGAATAAAAAGAGTATATGACATATATATGTGACATTTAAAGAAAAACTTTACGCTATCACCTCAAAAGCTACTATAAATATTGAACAAATGCAGAATTAATTTGGATAAATGATTTGAGATATATCTATAAATAACTATTGATGAAGAGACCTAAAGAAGTCATTTTAACAATAATGAACAAGCAAATAAGAGAAAGGAAATTACCTTGAGAAGTGTTGGCCTGCAACTGCCTGCGCAGATGCGGAGGGATGTAACGGCCAGTACTCTTAGAAGCCTGAGGCTGCAAGTCCAGACCAGCAAGCTAAAACCATAATTACATCCTTTTATTGACTACTTAAAAGTGGCAAGGCTCAACGACAACCTAATTAGTAATTACCGACACAATATTCATAACTTACATACAAAGTATTTGTTATGGTAGGAACATATTATGTAAAATAAGAACGAAACAGAACTTATAATACTTGAGTGAAGTAAAGATGTTAAGAAAGTAATGATTATCTAAATCGAAGTAAATGTGGTTAAATTTACCTAAAGAATTTTTTTTATAAATTTCCTAGAACCTAGACGCGATAATTTACCGTGGTGATGATCTCAACACAATGAAATTAATGTTTAAAAATCTAACTCATCATTTTTATATGAATTTAGACAGGAAATGTCATTTTCTACAAAATCAATCAGACACCATAGAAGATGACCAAGTCGCCATGTTGGTTGCACCAAGACACGTAAATCAAGAACTTTATAATTGAATGAACTAGTGTTTCTTCATGAATTAGATATAATACAATATATTAAAATAAGTTAAATAATAATGCAAGAAATAGGGGAGGGTTGGCCGAACAGTTAAAAAATCAATACAAAGCACAAGTACATGAGGTACCGACCTGCTGCTCTAGACCTGTTCCATTTTGGTTGGTAACATTACTCATATTACTACCAAGCGGTTCGTTTTTTTGGGAACTTTGCTCCAAAAATACTATACAAACACAGTCTACAATGAATTTTGCACAAACACAAAATCACAAAATCACATGAATAAGCGATAATTTTTCTCTCCGAAAACACTTCATTCGCAGTTTTTGTTCTTGATGAATTTTTGTCGGATGGTGCTTGTCTTTGCCCAATCACAATCACTCACTCCTACTCATTCGATTATCGTTCAACGTTCATTTCGTTCCAAATCAGGGCTATCCTCACTTTGGGTAATACTCAAAGTATCCTCAGAGCATAGAGATGTAATACCTCAGAGTGACTGGCGTAGGGATGTAGATATATGTATATACATAGACATTTATTAATTTTCTACAAATTAAATTTAGTACCGGCTTCCTTCCATAATTTGTTATTATTCACCCGAAAATTCACAAAACATGAACTTTAAACTGAACTTACAATTTTATTCATCTTAAACGTAGAATATTTAATATATTGAACAAAATATTAATTCATAAAGTTGTTCAAAAAGAAATAAAATTACGAAAAATAACTGGCTAAGAGAGAAAGAGCGAAAGAAAATGTACGCGCGCACTGCTCTCAACTTCCGTTCCCCTCGCCCGATCACACTTTTCTTAACGCTTTCGTCACGCGCTTGCCAGCTAAATCTCCAAGTCAAGCGTCCGTAAAGAAGTTTTACTTCAAAAACTTGCCATTAAATAATGACGATTAAAACGTCTTATAACGCATAGTTTTTGTAGCTAAGTTATATTTTATTTAATTTTTTCGTAGCTAAGTCTAGTTAGGGCACTTATTCGATGCGCGACTAGGGATGCTAAAGTGACATCAATTCTTTCAAATATCGATATATCGTTCATAAACATGGTTCTTTGTGTTCTTTAATAAGAAGTAATTTCATTTTCGATGTAAAATTGTCGTTAATTTTTATTGTGGTACCTAATGAATTAACATAAGTTTACAAATATTGAAAATGGATCGGAATTGTTTTATTCATTTTTTTATTAATAATTTTATTGTTTGAGCTTTAACTTAATCAATAGCTTAAGTACAGTCTTATAAGGTAATAGTTATTTTGTAATGGAAATTATTTTGTAGGCTTACGGATGAACGGTTTTTCGGCTGTTTATATTTCGGTATAGTTTAGTACATGTATTCAGAAAATGCGATAATACTGAAGGTGACATATGGAACTATCATAAAGAATTAACGCACCACAACATAAGAAATAAAACTAAAGCAGAAGAAGAGTTTTATATATTACATGCGTTGGAGATGTGGGATGGTTGTGTCTATTGCCTACCGTGGCAACTTCGGACTCCCGTGAGCGGTTGTTTTCAGAGGCTGGATCTACAATCACCCAGGAGAAACCGCTTACAAGGTGCCAGATTGTCAAAGTTGTTATTTTAAAATTCTTCGATGTTTTTAATGAGTGATGTTGCATCCTATAGATGTGCTTACTCAGAAAAATTACGACTCGAGTTAATTCGAGTCGAAATTCATATAACTCGAACTAAACTCGAGTCACGCAACTAGAGTTAGCAGGACTTAACACGGTAAATGATTTGTTATAATTAAGTTTTATTAATTTATTTTTCTATCGTAACGCTTTGGTAGGTTGGGTCAACTATTATTATTAAAATTAGTAGGTAGGATTGAAATAAAAAGGTATATTTAGTATGTATCATATACTTATGTATTTTTGGTTTTAATCAATTAGTAGGTACCTATATTTAACAACAAAATTAGCTTTATTGCAGTTTTCACAAAACAAGCCTAGTTTTTGTATTTTGTTTTCGATATAAGGAACTAAACTTAATAGCTCCTCGAAATCCTCTTCCCTATTCTCAGGTATTCGAAATTCATTTGGCTCCAGAACTCCGATAATCCGCATATTTGAGTGATTTTACCTAAGTTTTAAATAGTCTTTCACCTATATCTTTCTTCTCCTCCTCTTTTCGTTACTATTAAGTGTAGTGTGTTTTTCGTCTTCAAAACATCCAGTAATAAAATGTTGGTCTTTATCCTACTACGTCATGCAAAACACGACGATATAGCAATATTTATCACGCGATAATATTGATACTGTTTAAAAATATTGTTTCAATAAATAAGAATATATACTTTTTTCACTTGTCCATCCCTATGACTGAGTAAGGGCCTTTGACTAGAGAAGAAAGAAAGGACATGACATACGTACGAAAAAACGTGTATACCGAAACTGTGTCTGGCTCAAAGATGGCGGCTTGACGTAGTGCTGCGCACTATACTTAATATCGATAATGTGGCGCTTATTTAGATAAAAACTCTTTCGAGTGATTCGTCTCAAACACCCGTGTGTACTTAGATAGGTTTTTTTTAAATCAATACGACGGATTTTTCGCGACAAATTGTAAGTCCTTAATTTTTTTTATTCAACCTATCGATAGGAGTATCAAAATAAAGGATATTAAAAGGAGATTACTGAAATATATTATAAGTTATACCTATTTTTCAGTTTATTACTTCGGTCGTTTTTGTTTTGTTTTTATAATGTAACTATATATTAATAATGTTACTACGAATGTATACTTGGGAAAGAGGTGACGATAGAAGCATGATAGATTTCATAATTGTGGATGAAAGATTGAGGGGCGCAGTGGTAGATACAAGGGATTACCGGGGTTCTAACGTAGGAACGGATCATTATTTGGTTTTATGCCGAATTAATGGTCTGTTCAGGCGTTGGCGCTATCGATCATCTGTGTCTACCACTGCGTTACAGCGTATTAGAACAGAAAAGTTACAAGGTGAAGGCGAGAAAAACAAGTTCAAATGTAGTCTGAAAAAAATATAAGTGGTTTGGATGAATTATGTAAGAAGGAGTTAGACTTGGAGAATGTATCGCAAAATGTAAAGAAAGGTTTAGTGGATGCAGCTACCGAAGTATGTGGTGTTAGTAAGAGAAAGAATGAAAGGAAAATAATATGTTATGGTGGGATGATGAGATACGTATGGAAGTTGAAGCAAAGAAGAGGGCATGACTAGATTTACTAGCAACAAAGGCTAGTAATTCTAGCGGTACGAATGATGATATTGAAAGAAAAAAGGCAGTATTTAGACATCTAAATAAGAGAGTAAAAGAAGTAGTTGAAAGAAAAAAAAACAGGAAAGAACGGATAAGAATGATAGAAGAATATCGGATAACTTCCAGGCAAATATTAAAATGTTCTAGAAACTTGTAAGAACTGCCAGGGGACATTCAAAACAGCCTATGATGAATGCTATAAGAGACGAGAATGGCTATATTCTGAATGATGAAGTTTTGAGTTTAAAGAGATGGAAGGAATATTTTGAAAGCGTGTTTATGAGTGAGGAGACAACGTGTGTACTAAGTGAAGTAGACACTCCGAAAGAAGAGGAAAGAGATAGCGAGATAAGTATAGATGAAATAATGAAAGCAATGAAAAGCATGAAAACAGGTAAGGCTGCCGGATATTATAGAGTTTCACTCGAAATGCTAAGGGCTGGAGAGGAAGTGGTGGCAGGCCTCCTGCACACCTTGTTTAATTTATGCTGGGAACTGAAGCGGGTACCGGTAGACTGGTGCAAAGCCGTGATAGTCCCAGAATATAAAGGAAAAGGGTCGCAGCAGGACTGTAAAAACTACCGTGGCATCAGCCTTCTTAGCATTGAGGGAAAACTGTATGCTAAGGTACTGATTGAAAGGGTCATGAAAGAAACTGATGGAAAAATTTGGGATGTGCAAGCGGGATTTAGGAAGGGAATGGGATGTACAGATCAAGTCTTTTCCATGTGCATGATCGCGGAGAAGTTTATGGCCAAAAAACAAAAGGGTTTTTGTGCGTTCATGAACTTGGAAAGGGCCTATGACAGAGTAGATAGGGATATGCTATGGCAAACACTGAACTCATTTGGGTTGAGCGCTGGCTTGATACAGGCATTGGAGTCTCTTTATAGGGACTCTAGTGGTTTAACATCCATAAAGGTGTCAGACAGGGCTGTGTGACTTCCCAGTGGCTGTTCAACCTATTTATGGGCAGTTGTTTGCAAAATTTGAAAGTTGAAGAATGCGGATTAAGAATGGGTGAGTTAACCGTCAAATGCCTTTTGTACGCCGATGATCAAGTTATTCTTTCGTCGTCGGCAGCCGACTTGCAAATGATGGTTACATTAATGAACAGATCATTAAAAGAAAGGGGTATGAAAGTAAACGCAAGTAAGACGAAGGTTATGGTTTTTTAAAGAGAAGAAAGTAAAACGATTTGTGAAATAAGAATAGAAGGGGAGTTGATCGAGCAGGTAGATTTGTATATTTTATTTTTGATTTGTATATGTTAGTTTGTATATTTAGGCTCCGTATTTAGCAGGGATGGGAGATATGATAGGGACATAGAACGATGAGTGAATGCGGGAAATAGAGTAAATGGGGCCCTGCACTCTATTGTGAAGTCAAAATGTGTTGAAAAAGGCACAGTTAACGTATGGTAGTAAAAGTTGGGTGTGGCAGAAGAAGCACGAGAGTATAATGAACGCAGTAGAAATGCGGTCGTTAAGGAGTATGTTAGGGCTGAATCTGAATGACAGGGTAAGAAATTGTGTAATAAGAGAAGAGTGTGGTTTGCAAGATGATGTTGTGACCAGGATTAAGAAAGGAATGCTTCGGTGGTATGGTCATGTGGAAAGAATGAATGAGGAAAGAGTGACAAAGAAAATTTATTTATTTTATTTATTTATTTACACTTTATTGCACCATAAAAAGATTACAAAGGGCGGACTTAATGCCATTAGGCATTCTCTCCCAGTCAACCCGGGACGTGTGGAAATTATGTGATAGGTGACAAAATAAAATGAACAATAGAGTAAATCAAGGAAAAAAAACTACTGATAAACTTAAAAACAAACTAATATTATATATACAAATTCAATAAACTTATATACTCCAAAATATAATACAGATAATATATAATATATACAT